AAAAAATCAAATCGTTTTCATTCCTTCTCATCTGAATATCAATTCAGCTTTCGTTCATGTAATGACTTCGTGTGCTCATGTCCTCGGCTTCTCCCTGAGGTGGTGTTGGAGCACAGTTAAACATTTGCAGCAAAGAGCATTCTAGAAACGAAACAAAAAGGGTTTTGCTGTGTTCACAGGAAGGGAGAAAGTGCTTACTGAGCCTGCATCTCACAGCGAGAGGGATGAGGGTATGAGTAGCTGCAGAGCGCTGACCGTGCTCACCAAAGTCACCTGGCAGAGCCAGGGTCAGGCCCAAAGATGCTCGCCAGCGAGGCGTCTGAGTGGCAAAGGTCCTGACACACATAAAACGCAGTTTCTTGGGTGGTAGAGATCGGCTCCTCTGTCAGTTTAGACAAATTACAATGTGTCACCTCATTCCTGGCTTACATAGAACCACCCTGTCCCAAAGCATCTGCCCTTAGGAGACTGCAAGGCGGTGCTTAAAGCCAATAATGCTTTTTTCCCTTTTTTTTTTTTTTTTTGGTAGTTCTGGCAACTACACTCACTCATATGTAGGACAAAGAATGAGCCTTGGCTGGTATGGCTCAGTGGACTGAGTGCCCGCCTGCAAACTAAAGGGTCCCTGGTTGGATTCCCAGTCAGGACAGGTGCCTGGGTTGCGAGCCAGGTCCCCAGTAGGGGGCGCGGGAGAGGCAGCCACACACTGGTGTTTCTCTCCCTCTCTCCCTCCCTTCCTTTCTCCCTAAAAATAAATAAATAAAATCTTTAAGGAAAAAAATGAGCTTCCTCTATTTAAGAAAAAAAAAGAGAATGCTTTTTAACAGAAACCATGGCTTCTCTCAGACATGCCATCCGCCCGGCCAGACTGGCCAGAAGGACGTCGTTATCGGTGGAGGAACGGAAGCACTTGGCAGTTGTCCTCAAGTCCATCTATTTTCTTAGAAGCCATTGTGAGGGGCAGTTACAATATTCATGTTCAACTAGCCTCCAAATTCACTTACCCTGCCTCACTTCTTTGCCCGAGGCGCCCTCAGGCAGGGCCCACAAGCGCTGGTGTCTGCCTAAGTGTGTTCGTGTTTGGGGGGCTTTGCAGTCTGACTACCTCTGGCTGTAAATACACTTAATGTTTCTTCTGAAAAGAAATCAGAGGAAAAGGAAAAGGATGTTTCTGGAAATCAAGCTGTTATTCCACCTACCCACCCGAAGGACTCTCTAATTTTAAGCTTCATTCTATTAAGAGATTTTGAATAGCTCCGCTTTTATGATTTTAATAGACTTCCCAAATGGGATTTAACCATTTGATATAACAAAGTGGGTAGACTTTGGTCTTCAGAAGAGAAAGAATAAACATGCTGAAAGCTATGATTTAAATTTTCCATTTTCTGCCAGCCCTCTTAACACAATTATTGTCAAACTCGAAATAGCCAGGGCCCAAATACAAACCTCAAGTTTAGCAAAAAGCCTACAATGCAAGGGCGGGGTAAGGCAGCTGAAATCACTTTGGTAGAAATCCAGTTCCATTGGCTTAGCTTTAATACTCTGATGTGCATTAAGTTTAAAATATGCCAGTGGTTAGAGAACATCGGACGTCCAATTTCCTTGAATGCAGAGACCTGAAGCAAGTCTGTGAAGCCTCTATTCCACGATGCAAAATGCTTCAGCTCTTACAGGTTCACCTGGAGGAGTTACTGGGGAGGGTAGGAAGTGAGTCCTAAAGAAGAATTGAAGGTAAACTTCAGTACAGAACCATTTGACTTTAAAGGGTGAAGACAAGGTAGGTATCACAGATGACTGAGAAAATGGCAACTCTATTTACCAGCAGCTTAAGCCCAGTTTTAGCGTCATCCTTGACCCATTTTTTGTCATGACCCAGGGATAAGATTCAAGGTTGGGGCCCCCGAAATATTAGGTTGGCCAAAAAGCCTGTTCAGTTTTTTCTGTAAACTAAAAGACATATTTTTCATTTTCACCAATAATTTATTGATTTAGACATTTCGAGTATGTCAGCTATCTCCTTCCATAGACTTCCAGCGGGTAGAGGCCAGGGCTGCGGCTACACATCTTCCAATGCATGAGACAGCCCCACAGCAAAGAACTACTTGACCAAAATGTCAATAGTACCAAGAGACTTTACAAACCACTTTGGACGCATTCGATCAGTCACAGCGCCTACTCCATACACTGCACAAATCTGTTTTTGCATTTCCGTTGTGTTTTTACCTTTCTTGAAATAGCAAAGCATATTATGCTGAAAAGGTTGCTTATTTTCTTCCATCTTCAATATTAAAATGGCTACACAAAAATTCACCAATTTTGATGTTTTTTTAAGTGCACGCTGATATGACAGCTGTCGCAATACAATCTAACCAAATTGTTCTGAGTGACGTTATAGACAAGTAAGTACTACTAGAGTCATCGGATGGAAAAAAACTAAAGGAACTTTTTGGCCAAGCCAATATGCATAGTGAGACTCTTTTTTAAAAAAAGGATTATTTTTGGACAGACTTTCCCAAAACATATGCTGATGGAAGTACCCTCAGGGGTCCAGGGGCGAGCCTCGGTAAATTCCCCTCTGACCACACAGCCTTCCTGTTGCTTCTACTTTCAGGAGATGCCAAGAATCCAACCTTCTTTTTAACCTCCCCAGCTCCCCTGCCAGGGCCCACCTACCTTTTTTTTCTTTTTAATTTATTGATTTGAGGTTGGGGGGGGAGCAACAGAGATTTGCTGTTCCGCTTATTTATACATTCATTGGTTGCTCCTTGTATGTGCTTTGACCAGGGATGAACCTGCAACCTGGGAGTATGGGGACAACGCTCTCAGCTGCTGAGCTACCTGGCCAGAGCCAACCACCTTCATTTCTTGCCTGAACTACCGAAGTAGCCTTCCATCCTTCCAACCTTCCTGCATCTTCCCTGTGTCTTTAGTCTGTTCATACCAAAGAAGGCAAATTAGATCATGTCCTTGGTTGAGTCAAAACCCTCCAAAAGTCTCCTGGTAATAAAGTCCTTCCCCTATTTCTCCCAGCCCAGTTTCATCTGGCCCCGGGACCAAGTTGCCTCCCATACTAGGCTCTTTACTCACCTTTCACCAAGGATTCCTTGGCTTTGGAACCTGCCAAACATGCCTCGGGGCCTTTGTGTTGTGTTCCTGAGTTCGGAGTACTTTCCCTGAAATCCTCACGTCCTTCTGCCCTGTGCTTCTCTGCACCTTCCCAGAGGTGCCTCCCCAGGGCACTCCGTGCAGAGCCCCAGTGCCCCCTCCCACCCTGTCCTCCTGGCTTTGGCGTTTTCTCTGCAGGTGCAGCCTCTCTGGGGATACATTTATTTGCTTATTGTCTTACCGCTTCTAGGCTGTAGCTCTGTGAGGATACAGATTTTACTTTACTCACTGCTGTGCCCCTGTTCTTAAAACAATTGTTAAAACAATGCTTGCCATTTAATAATAGGCACTTCATAAATATCTGTGGAAAGAAAAAGTTACCTAACGTGGAAAGGAGGTTAATCATGACGGCAGAGAAAGAGAGGTCATTTGGGGGAGATGGTAGAATTCCTTTAGGACGTTAAGTCTAAAGTGACAGGTTTCTTATGAAATCATCGTGAATACAAGCCTATTTGTGGATAAATAAGTAAGCCTAGCAGTTACCCACCATGATCCGGATATTTTTTATTTCCTTTTTAAAAATTTCAAATCCGACTTTGCAAAAAGTCACCGAAGTTAAAACGCACGGATTCTTCAATGAAATCTCACTATATTTTATCTTCCTGTCTTTTCATGTTCCAAACAGGCAAGAAAGGCATCACAGGCTGCAGGGACGAACGTTCTCTCAAGGACGCTTTTTCTCACACGGGGACCATGAATCAGATGGTCATTCACTCAGATCTTTACTTCCCTGTGTGAGGTACCCACCGTCCCCACCCCCACCCCTCTCCAGTCTTCATTCCTGACATCTCTGAGTTCCCGGAGGGCGGTTTCAGAGGCGCCGACGGGGGCCTAGGGCAGTTAAAAGAGCAGTCCCCGAGTGTGGCTCCTTGACAGAGCCGTACAGCGAACGAGAGAAGACCTGGACGTGCCTGGTCGGCCCCCTTCTCCGCCGGGATGGTCCTTGGGCAGCTGGCCTGTTGGAAAAGGGAGGTCTTAGGGCTGACCCCTTCAGCACGAGGGTCTGCGTTTCTTTAGCCGGGGAGGAGTACGATGTTGAGGGGATACAGGATTTCCAAGTTAGGGCTTTCTAAATTATGTCCCCACCAGGCTTCCCTAGGAAACTTTCATACTCTGAGAAGCCCGTCTCCTTCGCATCGGTTCTCCAATTCCCACAAGACCTTCGTTCCCGCTTTGCGGGTCGTACACGGCGGCCACAGGAGATCCTGCCTGCCCCGGAGTCCGGCTTCCGGCTCTCGTGGTGCCAGATGAAGTTCCAGGGGGTGGACGCAGTAGTCAACTGCTCATTCATTCAACAAATATTTATCAAGCGCCGCCGAGCGCCGGGCACTGGCGGAGGAGGCTAGGGGCGACCCGGGGGCGAGCAGCAGCTCGCAATTAGTGTCCCCCAGGCTCTGGCGCGCGCAAGGGGAGCGGCCCCCGCAATCCTCGCCCACCCGCGGCCGGGCTGCCCGGCCCAGGGTGCCCAGTGCCCCCAGCGCAGCCCTCCCGACGCCCGCGCCGGGGAACCCGCCCCACGGATCTAGCCTTAAGGGGTGAATCCTAGTAGGGAAGGCGGAGAAAAAAAAGCAAAACATCAGAAGGGCAAACCAGACCCTAGTCTGCCCTGGGAAGCTGCTTAGGGAAGGGCGCCAGGAGGAGCAGGAGCCGGACCTGGGGCCGGCCCGGGCCGGGGAGTGCTGGCCGGAGAGAATAGTCGGGGCGCGGAGGCGGGCCGAGGGCGCGGCCGGCGGGAGGGGCCGGGGCGGCGCCCAGAGGGAGGGGTGCGCACAGCGGCGCGGCTCAGCAGGTGACCGCTGGCCGGGCGGGAGCCGGCGCGAATCCCGGGTGGGCGGGCGCGGACGGCCGCGGCGCGGGGCAGGGCAGCGCAGCGCGGAGCCGGCCCGCCGGGCGGCGAAGTTTGCCGAACATGGCGGAGGAGCCCGAGGCGCGCAGGAGCGCGGCGGCGCGGCGGCTGGCGCCCCAGGAGTTGTAGCCGCCGCCGCCGCTGGGCGAGGTCGCCGCCATGGCCCGCTGGATCCCGACCAAGCGGCAGAAGTACGGGGTTGGTGAGTGCCTCCTAAGTGCGCGGGAGCGGCCCTGCGTGGCGCGAGGTTGGGCGGCGGACGCCGGGCACTGGGTGCGCGCGCCGCCTGGGACGGGGTTCGGCCCCCGCTGTCCCGGGGGCGCAGCCAGGACTCCACTGCCACGGCCGCAGTGTGGGGCGGGAAGGGATCAGAGCCCTCTCACGAAGCCCCGCGGGGGAAGTTTCTCCGGGTTTGGTGAGGCCGAGTGGCTGAAAGTGCCTTTGGCATTTGGGTTCCGGAACGGGTCAAGTTGCTCTCGAACCCAGAGCTGCAGCGCCTTGCACAGTGGAAACGTCAGAGGCGAGGGCGCTCGCCGGTTACTCAGTGGGACCCAGCGTCGGCGCTCGCCTCCCTTCTCCCCACAGTGAGGTTTCATTCAGGAGTTTGTAACCGGCTGAGGACGGCTGAGTGCTGCTCGCTGCCCCAGTGCTTTCTGCCCCCTCTTCTTAGGTTCCCTCTGGAGATCCAAAGTGAGGAGCTGGGAGTAGAAAGCCGCTCCCCCGCTTCCTCTTAGGGCCAGGAATGCTGATAACAGCTGTAAAGTGAGTGGAAAAGTCAAGCTGTGGTGTGGATGTGATGGGACAGACAGGAAGCGTGTGACTTGGGAATGGGGGTGGCGGCCACTGGGGCTCAACCCTTAACGGAGTGTGAAGAGAGGGACTACGACTGCCTTCTAAACCCCGAGTTTCGTCGCGGGATCGGCCCAGGACATTTTATGAAGGAAACCGTGACAGGTCCCGTGCTAGGCACCTGGCATTCATAGAGGCGGTGCTGGAGGGCCCCACGACCCGCGGAGAGATCGCCGCCCTGTTGGTTTGGACCCGACACAATCGATGGCTATGGGGCAGGTTTTGACCCAGGTGAATACCTTGATTCTACTTTTCGTCCAGGAGTAAGGTCGCCCAGGGCTTGTGGAAAGACTGCCATTAGCGAGTACACTCAGATGTGTGCTTTGAATTTTACCACTTCCTCTCAGGTTCATTCATTTGGCCTCCTTGTAATCTAATCTTTTATTTTACTGCCTTTCGCGTCTCCATTTTTCCTCACCTCACTCCTTACTAGGGAGGCGTCCCTGAACCTAGTCTGGTTTCTGATGGCAAAGTCCCTTTCCGAGATAACTCAACATCTCTAGGTTCTTTTTTAACTCTGTAGCCACGAGTCAGTTAATAAAAACAAACAAAGCCTCTCATATTCACTGTATTATTCTTAGATTGTGATCCTTTATGGATATATGTATAATAATAGTGCGCGTGTGTGTATTTCATTGTGTTCCCATATTCCAAAACCTTTTTTCCTTTAAATTTGTTTTAGGGTCCTTGCACTCTCCCATGGCTACAACTCAGAAATGAGTAGCTGCAGTTTTTCCTGCGCCGGACCACCTGGTCATGATTGGGTCATGAGGCTTCAGCCAGGGACTCATAGTCAGGTGACAGTAAGTCGTCAGTAGCTATGGAAGTGAAGTGCTCCGTAACAGATGGGGTTCGTTTAAAGCATATTGAGCAGAGCGTAATTGTTAGTTACTACTTACAAAGAGGTTATCAATTCTAACTTTGCTCAACAGCATTAAAGCTGTTTCCAAAACTATTAGGACTTTGGTGTAGTTAATGCAAACATAGCCCCCAAATGTGGTTTTTATTGCAGTAGTCATAGGAGCAAGTATGATATGTCCTCTCTCTGAAGTATGATATGTTCTGGAGTCAGTTTATCTTATTTGCCATCAGTCAAGAAAATTATTCAGATTGCATTTCCAGGGCCTAGGTAGCAAAATTGCTCCAGGATATAATTTGGGACATTCATTTTACTGGCCACAGTAGATTCTGATTAATCTGTATTTCACAAAAGGACCCGCTGTTAGGACAGGTTGTCCGAGAATAAATCTCTGTTGCTTGTTCCTAAAGCACAGTGTCGGTGCTGGTATCACCTCTCTGCCTGGAGACCTTCCTTGGCCTAAGGGTAAAGTCTGAGCTGAGCCCGCAGGCAAGGCTCGCAGAATCCAGTTCAGCGTGCCTTCGCCACCCTTCTCTCTCCCAGCTCCTTTCATTAACCCTCCAGTGCAGACACTGCCCTTCTCACTCCTGTGCAGTCTGCCACCAGAGTCCCTCCTTCGTGACTTTGCTCCCTTGTGCTTGTTCCCTGTCCAGAGGGCCCCCTGCTTCTGCATCTGGAAACCCAGACCCTTGTGCAGGGCTCCGACCCATCCCCGCCTTCACAGGTGGTGCTCACCAGGCCGCAGAGCTCCACGCCTCTTCGTCACCATTGCTGCGTTGTCCCAGACTGTGTTCTATTATGTGGCCTCTCGAGCTTGGCGTCCGTGAACCGGAAGGTTATGGCTTTCTGTCCCTGTCCCCCAAGAGGTAGACCAGGCACAGACCCTGCATTCACTGACAGCTCCTCCTCGGTGTTGCGATGACGTCCTAGAGCGCCAGCCTCACCTCTTTGAGGATTTGAAAACAGTTTATCCCCTTCTAGGTTTTAGCACCTCGCTCCCTCCAGTAAGAGTTTTCTTCTGTTCCGTGAGGTGGATGACTGAATGAGTCCTCAGCCTGTTTTTCTTCTGCAAGTAAAAGCATGAGATTCGCTGCTGGGGAACAAGGAAGCAGAGAATAGACGGACTTAAGTCTAATTGGAAAAATTGGGCTTGTTGGACTTTGGGGGGGTGATTGTTGTCACGTGTCTGCTAAACAGACTGTGTTTCTGCGTGAAGGAAACCATGCGATGACTGTTGGACGCCTTTGTAATGACTCAGAGCTACTCCGCGTGAGCGTGGCCCTTCGATCTCACTCCGCACTGCGGCCAGTGAAGCCAGCAGCCTCTGCTCGCTTTCCTTATCTTGCAGCCACTGTCGGCTGTCCCTGACATAGCCTAGAGGTTTCTACAGGGGCCGATATGCAGTCTGTCTGGGCTTCCCTAGTTCTTAAGTGTAGCATTGGGGCTGGATTCTTAGCATCAGCTAAATAACCTGTGCGTATTATCTTATTGGGCGAGGGGACCACCAGTCCCGCTCCTGTAAACCCCTGCTACACTATTAGTACCCACGTGTGAGGGGCTGAGCGCGAGTGCTCGGGAAAGAGTGCTCTTCCCCACAGCCCTGGAAAACTCTTCCCTCTTCCTTTTTCTTGCTTCTTTTCTTTTCCGTGATTCTTTCTTCCTCTCTTTCCTGTTTACATTGTCCTGTGGGAGGATATGAGGCTATACACATTTTTACTTACCTTATAAGCAAAAGTCAGTGATGACTATTCGGATTTGCCTTCCGATGACGGGTGCCGTTACTGTAAGGCTGCCCTTTCTGTCAAGAGGAGACACAGACTGTGTTGGCGACGGACTCTCTGCAAAATAATTATTGTTGCTGGGATTCATGATATGTACTCTTATGATGTAATAAAAGGTAGTTTGGGGGGAGTATTGGCTTTCACTGTTAGCTTTTCAGCCCTTTAGCTGTACTAGGTCCCATGAGTCTCAAAGCATTTAAGTTTGTAGAGGAAGTTTCTCCAGTGCTGGTGTAAAAAATGAAGGCAGATGCTTTGCCAGTTCCCTCAGGTGTGTGTGGGTTTCTGCCCATTTCCCACCTCCCGCCCCCCGCCCCCCACCGCCTCGTCACCATGTTCCAAATATTCTAGCTGGGGGGTGACAGCTGGGAGGGCCCTCAGGAAGTGAAGGGGGGAGCTTGGTGCCTGAAGAGGTAAGTGAGCTTTTTCCTGTTGGGTTGCATGAGCCCTTTTGGCCGTCTGGTTAAGCAGAGGGACTCCCTTCTCAGAATAATATTTTTAAGTGCAGAGTTAAGTATGAAGGATTAAAATAAAGCAAGCTGTATTGAAATACAATTTTTGAGATATTTTCAAAATTTGTGATATTGTACCATATGTGCTTCTTTATTAATATACTAAAGAACAAGGTCTAGTGGTAGGTCTTATAACTAGCATACTTTTGAGTTAGTGATGAGCGTGTATGATTTGTTAAGGTAACCACGTGTGATGGGAAAGTACCTGTGGTCTGTTGGCAATGGCATCAGTGTGACTGCAGATGCAGCTGTGGTTTCATTGCCTCTAGTCGGCATGGAAGCACATGCTGGGTGTCGGAAATTGCAGGTGTATTTTTCCCCTTTTCAGTTCCATGATCCTCTGAATTTGAACACAGGTGAAGGAGCCTTGGCTGAAGATCACACACAGCTAATCAGTTATAGAACCAGGATAAGCAACAACAGAAACACTTGCTGATCATTTGTCTACAGGAGACAGCACAACACTAGATGTTACACAATTGTAACGAATCGAAGAAATCCTTGTAGTTAATGTTTTAACTACACTGAGGCGAAGAATGGAGGAATAGAGAATAGTGTTTAATAAGAATTTACTTTGTGGCAGGCACTGTTCCGAATCTGAACCCTTTATTTCATTATGTTCCAGGGACACACAGGGCTCTCAGAGATGCTCTCAGGGGGTCCATGAGATTAAAGCTTTTTGGCAGTAATACTAAGATGCTGTGGACTTGTTTTCACACCGTCCTCTCGTGAGTACACAGTATAGCTTCCCAGAGGCCACGTGGAGTCTGGCATTGCTACAGACAGAACGCAGGAACAGACCCGAGAAGCCAGGAGCCTTTGTGAAACCAGACGTTAAAGGGATTTACAAGGACGCAAAACAGTGCCCTCCTCTATGTGTTTTGTTTGGAAAAGTAATTAAAAAATTATCTTTTAACTACAGATGACATACAACATTATAGTGATTAGACATTTATATACCTTAAGAAGTGATCACCCAGCTAAGTCTAGTACCCATCTGACACCATATATAGTTATTGGAAAAGTAGTTTTGATCTAAAAAAATACATAGTTTTTGCTAACGTGGATTGGGCTTGTTATACTTAACCTTGATGAACAAATAAGTACTTTTCAAAAGTCTCAGCTTGAATTTTTAATATGGCAAATAATTGTAGATGTAACCCATGTAAACAAAAGTTCTTTGAGGTTCATAATGGCTTTTTAA